AAGAGCCCCCAGCCACAGCTTGCTGTGCCCGCCAGCCTCAGGGTGCTGTGCTCCTCCCTGTCCCAGAGCCCCAGGGACAGCCTGGCCACAGGGTGGGCAGCCTGAATCCCTGGGACCACAGCTAGCACCTCACCGGCTCCCTTGGTGTTTTTGCAGGACAAGGAACCCCCGTCATCCCGCCCGGCCTTCAAAGAGGGTGAGTTGTCTCTGTGCTCAAGCAGCAGAAGCATCCAGGAGTCCTGACCTCCCATCTCCTGTGCTGACCACAAATGCAGGTTGGCCGGGGCTCCCAGGCAGGGAGGGAGCAGCTGCGCAGGCCGAGGATGTGGCTTCGGGGTCCAGGGGGCTCATTTGATCCCAGCTCACCCTTCACTGAGCAAAGCGGGCTGCTTCAGGGATTGGGGAAGGGAGGTGCTTGGGCTTGGGAAGGGAGAAAGAGGATGCCAGGGTTTGCCTGAGGGAAGGAAGAAGCAGCCCTGGGGTCAGAGTTGGTCCCCCAGTGGCGCTGGGAGCCCGGCTCCCAAGCACTGAGCTGCTTTTCTGCGTGTAGGAGCGCAGCGAACAGGCAGGAGGAGTTGGTACCTCCAGTTTTCAGAGTTGGGGGGGTACCAAGCCCTGCTTAGTCCCTACCGATGCCTCAGTTCCAGGCCCTTGTGACCCGGAGGATCTGCTGGACGGTGTGATTTTTGGGGCAAAGTACCTGGGCTCCACGCAGCTGGTCTCAGAGAGGAACCCCCCGACCAGCACCCGCATGGCCCAGGCCCAGGAGGCGGTGGACAGGATCAAGGTGCAGGAGGGTAGGGGGGCATGACTGCCACCAGCCTGGCCCTTCGCAGGCGTGCAGCAGGGCTCAGGACCTGCCCGGAGGGACCCAGAGGAGTCCTGACAGCAGCAGTGACCTCTCCTGGACGCTCTGTTCTGCAGGCACCCGAGGGAGAGTCCCAGCCCATGACGGAGGTGGATCTGTTTGTCTCCACGCAGAGGATCAAGGTGCTCACAGCTGACACGCAGGTGAGCGGGGAATGGGAGCGCCCACATGGCTTTGGAGCTGCTGAAACCTTCCTTGGGATCTCGGCTTTGCGCCTCCTCCAGTGGGGTCGTGCCTAAGGATGGCCTGAGGGTGAGGACATGCATCTCGAGGAGACCTGTGACTCCGTGGCCGTCCCACACAGCCGTGTCGTGTCCCTCAGCTCTCTGCGTAACTGCATGAGGCTTCTCATGCAAACCGTGCCTTTCAGGAGCTGCAGGGATCCCCAACCAAGCTCCAGGAAGCCCAGGCCTTGAAATTTCTGTAGCTCTTTGCCTCAGGATTGGTTTCTGCTGTATAGTGAGAGCTGTCTTGTCCCCTGGCAGCACCCAGAAACACAGATGAGTCCTTGATTGAAGGACCTGTTTGTACATTTTAGCTTAGACGTGGTTTCTGCCCAATGTGTTCCAGGCATTTAAGCTACATCCCAGCCTGGTGGCATTTGAACCCTAACCCTTCCTGCATGTGGTGATGCCCCTCTCGCTCATGGGCTGCCCGTGGGGTCCATCAGGCTGGGGAGAGCTGAATGTTTCTGCCCACGTCCCCCTTGCCAGGAGGCCATGATGGATCACTCCCTCCAGACCATCTCCTACATCGCCGACATCGGCTCCCCCCCCGCGTCCGGAAACTGCCCCGACGGTCCGAGGTGGCGGAGGAGAAGCGGCTCTACAAGATGATCTGCCATGTCTTCCACTCGGCTGACGTGAGGCAATACACGAGTCTCTCGGGAGCAGGGGGTGGCCTTGGGGTCCTGTCCCGCTGTAGCAACCTGGTGCTCTGGGTCTCCACGCTGGGAGCTCCTGATGAGCACATAGAGGGGGAAAGAGCCCGGCGCAAGCACCTGAACAACAAGAAAAGTGGGGAGGATTGGTGCCATAAAGGCCTGTTCAGGCAGGGAAGGAGCCAGGATGACCTTAAGCTCCCAGGGCGTTTGCGGGGCACTGGCAGACGTTGACCTCGGTTTGGCCATGGGACCTCAGGCACCAACGACCCCTCTCTTTCCTCAGGCCCAAATCATTGCTCAGGCCATCGGGCAGGCGTTCGGCGTAGCCTACCAGCGCTTCCTGGAGGCCAACAGCATCGACCCGAGCGAGCTGAGCCCTCGCCAGTATAGCCGTGCCCTTGAGGACCAGGAGCAATACAACGCGGAGCTGACCCACTTCTCCCGGCAGGAGAACTGCAAGGACGTAAGAGCTGCTTTGGATGGGTGGGAACAGTGTGGGGCACTCGCTGGCACCTCTGTGTCCTCCCCTCCATGGCTCACTGACCCACTGAGGGGCTTCCTGCACAACTGGGCCCTGTTCCAGCTGGCTGTGAGCCCAGGACACTTGTGCTGGGGCCAGGACACGTGCCTCATGGCTCTGGTGACCGTAACCCATCTGTTTCTCCCCTCTTCCTCCCTGCAGGTCTGCATCCGGAAGCAGAAGGGGGAGATCCTGGGCATCGCCATCGTAGAGTCAGGCTGGGGCTCCATCCTGCCCACGGTGGTCATCGCCAACCTGATGCACGGGGGTCCAGCGGAGAGGTCGGGCGAGCTGAGCATTGGGGACCGCCTCATGTCTGTCAATGGGACGAGCCTGGTGGGGCTGCCCCTCGCCACCTGCCAGAGCATCATCCGGGTGAGCCAGGCCTGCGTGTGGGGTGGCCTCACACCTCCTGGTGGGATGGTGAGAGCTGGCGGAGGTGGGGACCGGCCTGAAATTCTGGGGGTGTCTATAACGCCGGGGTCACCCCCTGGTGCTCCTGGCTTGGGGGTGGATGGGTGGTAGGAGGCTGTGGGGATGGAGCGGGCAAGGGCTTGCCAGGGAGGCTGTGACAGCCCCTGCTCTGAGTGCTTGGAAGGAAGGGATGAGACAAGGCAGGGAATGAAATTTGCTGCAGCGGGATGTGGGCAGGGTGCTGCCTGAGGAGGAGGGGGAGTGAGGAGGCAGGCACTTGTCCTGGAGGGAACCTGTTATATCTTCTAATTCCTGGGCAGGAAGGGGCTGAAAGTAAGGACAGTGTGGCCTCAGGGGCAGAGTGGGACGCCTTACGCTGGATTTATAAGTTCTTCTTGAACTGAGGTGTGGCAGGATCCCTGTGTGTGCCTCAGTTTCCCCACTGAAAAGAGGTTGCTAATCCTCAGCCCTCCCACAAGCAACGTGGCCACATCACCCCTCTGAACTGCGCTGAATAGCTCTGCAAAGTCTGACAAAGCCCTGTTCCATCTTCCAGGAGCTGAAGCACCAGGCAGAAGTGACGCTGAACATCGTACACTGTCCCCCTGTCACCACGGCTGTCATCCGGCGCCCCGACTCCAAGTACCAGCTGGGATTCTGTGTTGAGAACGGCGTGGTGAGTGCCCACAGGGGTGGGAATGGGGTCAGCCCCGGGCTTCAGCAGCTCGTCCGCTGGAGGGACTCGCAGTCCTGGCTGTGTCCGCGCAGGTGGGTGCGTGGCTCCCGTGCTCCTTGTGCCTACCGGGGCTGAGGTTTCACAGGGCTCTGTCCTGCCACAGCAAAGGCCCTGTGTAGCTCTCCTGCAGCACCTGTGGTTAGGTCACTCTCTGTGGTGCTCCTTAGCTGTTTGCTTTTGGGGTGGCGGCTTCTTGACTTTTTTTGGCGTGACCTTAGTGACGTTTGTTGCTCTACCTAGTGCCCCCACCACTCCCTGCTCTGGGCTCCACAGTGGCTGCCTTGGAAAGGCGGAGAGGAACGTTTCTAGAACCCGTGGGAGTTGATGGGGTGGGTGGGCAGTGAAGAGGGAGCACACCAGTGCTCCCAGTAGTGTTGGAGACATGGTTACCCCACGGGTGCGTCGGAGCTGCTGCCCCAGGGACAAGCTCCGGCTCTGCAGCTTGGGCTTAATGCGTGCACAGGGTTCAATGGGTGGATGTAGGGAGCTCAGTAACAGGCTCCCCTCACCCTACAGCTCAGCACAGCGCTGCTGGCAGCAACCCAAGGGGACATCCCCACCCTCGCTGCATGCCCATGGGCTGGGAGAGACAGCAGCCAAGTCCAGAGTTCTTCCCAGGAGCCTGCACGGCTGAGAGGGTGTAGGGGGGTGGTTGCACGTGGCCCCAGGCTGTGGGCACAGCTCTGCTCTTACCAGCTCTCCCTGCTCCCCAGATCTGCAGCCTGATGCGTGGGGGCATCGCAGAGAGAGGCGGCGTCCGCGTGGGGCACCGCATCATCGAGATCAACGGGCAGAGCGTGGTGGCAACACCCCATGAGAAGATCATCCAGATCCTCACGCAGGCGGTCAGCGAGGTGAGCCGGGCTGGGTGACCGCGGTTCCCCGTGCCCTGGGGCAGCTGCCTGTGAAGCAGGCTGGGCTCAGTTTTGCACCAGCACCCTCCAGCCTGGGGTTTGGCATCTCCCAGCTGACCTGTGCATCTCTGCCTTAGGTCCACATCAAGACCATGCCGGCCTCCACGTACCGCTTACTGACCGGGCAGGAGCAGCCCGTCTTCCTCTGAGCCTCCAGCTGTGCCCAGCTGTGGCTGTGCACGCTTGTGCAGGATGGACTCTGCCTCCTGCCCCAGCACCCTCATCGGAGCCCCCTGGTTCCCGAGGCCTAACCCTGCGCCTCTTTCAAGTTTTGCTCAGGACACAGTGGGGGACTCCGGGGGCCTGACACCCAGCTCGAGCAGTGTCACAGCCTATGGTGCCGCAGTTCGGGCACTTCCTCCCCCTATATTTACCCCTCCCTGCCTCACAGTGCCTGCACGGTGCCTATGCTGTTGCTTCACAGCGTCCCTTACCTTAGGCTGGTGCTGGCAGGAGAGGGGACCCTGCATGAAACGTCACCCCATCCAGTCACCACAGATTGTGCTTTTACACTCACCGATGGTGCCTTTCTCCCTGTGGGGATGGTGCTGGAGCCACAGCTCCGGGGCTGGCCCTAGCACAGCCCCAGAGCAGGGCTGACCCTGCCCACCGCTCTGTGGGCGCACGCTGGCACCCCCAAGGGAAAGCTGGCAGCTCCCAGGCTCAGCCTTAAGGGCAGCAGCACCCTTGGTACCTGCTCCTCCTCCCTGGCTTTGCTGGGGCCTGTCAGGGGTGCAAACAAACTCCCTGTTAGCAGCAAGCTGGGAAACTACCTCTGCTCTTCCCTGTTGCTGCCTTTAACTGCTTTGCACACACAGCCTGGCCCCAGCCTGCCAGGGTATGGGGTCGCAGCCCTCGGGCCTCAGCACAGGAAAAGGGAACAGGGCGCTCCACGGTCCCACGTCCCGGGGCAGCTTGGGGCTACGAGCCCCAAGGCCCAGCCCCTGGTGGTGTGTCTTTTCAGGAATGGGCCTCTGGACCCTTACGGCTGAGGCAGCGCTGTTGTGGCTTTGCCTGTGTGCTTGGTTGACGTAAAAAATAAAAAGTTTTGGGGAACATGGGAGGTTGTGTTTCTGGAGCCCTGGCTGGGCTGCAGCAGAGGAGGCTCAGCTCTGGGCCACGCACCCTGAGCCGCCGGCGGTGCCGTCAGCACAGCCCGGCAATCCCTCCTGAGGCAGGCAGGGTGTCTGGCTGCAGAGGTGCCTGGGTCCCAGCAAAGCCACCCAGAATGCACAGAAACAGCCCATCCTGGTCAAAATCCCTTTTTATTCCAGCAGCAGAGGCCATGGCCAAAAATGGAGCTGGGTGGTGGAGGCAGCATTAGGCTCAACCTACCCTGACCATGGGGTGCTGCGTGGGACCAGCACTGGCACATGGACCTGGTGGCCTGGGGCTGGGGCAGGGACAGGCCAGCACTGCCACTACAACTCTG